AAACAAAAAAAAAACCTTGTTTACAAAACCTGTCGGCTTAAATGCGGCCTACTTATCATCCAGCACATTTAATTTCATTTCCATTTCCAGAATTGATAACAAAATGATGTGCAATACACTGACGCTGTGCTGTGAATGAATGAATCCACCAAAACGCACGAAACATTGTCATCTATTCATGCTGGAGGCTTTGATGTAATTATTTTTTATTATTATTTTTTGGCTTTTTAAAGCGCTTGACGGGGGACAATCAAGACACTCTGAGCTGTAAAATACCCATGTAGCTTTATGTTTAGTTTTAGTAATTCCTACTCTTGTTCCCTCTAACACGGACACGTCTTTCAAGCACAAGTGTGAAGTCCAGCGTCTCCTGAGCTTTGTGTTGTTTTTTTCTTTTTTAACAGGAGCGGCGAAAAATATCGACTACACTGGTGTACAAAATATGTAAATGTATATATTTAATGAGGCGCGGGGAGATGGGGATTCCTCACACGGCTTCTCCTTTGTACAGAAGAAAAAAAAAACAATGTTTTGATATTGTATTGCTGAACCATGTTGTGAAATAAATGGAGATTATTCCTTGACATTTTTAGGACATTTTTGTATGACTTATTTTCTAGTAAATTTTTTAAAAACATGGTCCAATTCTAATTTATACATTCTATATAAAAAAAATAGGTGACGATGTTTATTCCTCCGTGGCCGCGCACGCGCACACGCACACACACATTTGGAGCATTGGCAGGTGGGTTTCTGTAATCATCTTAGCGTTATGCACTTTAAAACGTTATTTTACATAAAAAGTGGCTCGGTCAATTAGATGCGTAATTGGCACCATCTTGCCAAAATTATGGATAATGTATTCAGAAGAGGAAATTACTCCCTAAGTATGAGCTGCTGTCTTTTAACATTTTTTCCCCCCATCTCTCTTTCATGGCCGTGTGCTGGTGTGTGGGTGTGTGTTTGTGTCTGTGGAGGGATGTCAGGATCTGTGGCCACCATCTCCACCTCATCGTTTTTGGTGTTGTTGCACCTTTACGCTTTCTCTTTATTTGTATTTTACGCTTTTTTTCCCTTCAATTTATAAAGAACATTTGATTTTTTTCCCCTTTTTTGTTGTCAGGAAACGTCTCTCATTACAAGGACTACTGTTTTTTTTCATGTCACTCATATTTAAGTAGTGAGGTAAGACGACTGTGCAAACTATTTCAGGATGCATAAAAACACATCTTATACGCTGTTGTCTTTTTTTTTTTTTTTTAAATCTGTAAATGGAATTCCATACAGTCTCCACAGTTCAAGCCAATGTTACTCTGTCGTAGCCTAAATTACAGGCTCGTTTTTTTTGTAAGCTTAAAAAAAAGTGTAACATTTCGAATTAGAGCTGAATTATTAAACTGGTACTTTGTAAGATCCTACAGGTGTCACTGGACACTAGATGCGATCATCTCAACGAAGACATCCACAGCTTTTTCTGCAAATTAATCAATTCAAGATATAAAAAGCTTTCTTTCAAGAAAAATAAAAATCTTTTTTCATCCAAAATAATAGATTTTTTCTTTTAACATTTCAGCACAACTTTGGAGCGACTGGCTCTCCATCTCGATTAGAATAATTAGAATTTGAGGAAATTAATAAAACTGCACGAAATACAATCAATCATAAGTTCAAGGAGGATTTCTTTTTTTTTTTTTGGACAGAATCAAGGTTAGATCTGATTGCCAACAGCCTGAAATTATTGCAGTTGCTGCATCCACAGTTACTGCAATTTTTTTTTTTACATTTGATTGTGATTCTGATTTTTTGCAAACCGGAAGCATCTTGTGAAACTTAAAGGGGAAAAACGCTAATCCAAGGGGAGGATGCATAATTGAAAAGCTCCACTGAGCTGGGGGCAACTCACACCTTAATAGCAATAATTTATTACAAAATTAAACAACGTTTTCAATGCCAGTAATAATAATCAGGATGCAGCGTTTTATTTCAATACAGATTTGATCATTTCATTGATTTTCTTTGAGAGCTTTTCAACCTAAATAGTCTCCATCAGGTGACAGGTTCCAGGTTGGAAACTGCTTCTGCATTTCATTAAAACTCTCAGGGTTGATTCACTCCTTGGACAGTTTTAGGAGCCTCTGTAGGTTTCAGCCTGTAATATACTGCGTAAAAATATCCAATAAAAGACCACTCTCTGTTGCATATGCATCGCCAAAACACTGGAGCTATTACACTCCAAAAAAGGTGGTTGAAATCACCCCCCCTCCGAAAAAAAATGAACATATGAGATTATGCGTAAAAGCCAACTGTGAGGCACGTGTTCCTCAGTCAGAACAACCTTTTTTTTTTTTTGCTTCAAAGGCCATTTTCTGCTTTCATCTGCAGGCTAATACAGTTATTGGAAATGAATCAGTCAACTATAAACTCTATATGATGACCTCATCAAGAGACAAAGGGTTCATTCAAATATCGTCAGATCACCCAAGTATTGACGTGTACCTACCGCGCACACTCAACGCGGCCCCATTACTGCAAATTAATAGATCGGTGTGGCATTATTCTCCTGGCACGTATCGATCCGTGAACGTCTGCGGCACATTGCGTCAAGTAAGAGCAACGTTCACACGCCGCTTCGGCTCAGCTTATGACCTTGATTTGCGCGCATAAATTGAAAAAATTACCACTCGATAATTTCCATTTGTGCGACATCTTTATGTAAAGGAGGGGAGAGAAAAAAAAGGTGGGGGTGGGTGGAGGGGGAGCGGGGCCAAAATCAGATAAAGTACATTTGCAGGAACGGGGACAAACGGACGTGACCGGGGACTGCGATCAGTGTATTACATTAAAATGGAGAGCTGAATGGGTAATTTTAAGCCCTATCAGAGGTTTTAGTGCCAGTTTGGAAACACACAAGTGGCCCCGACCACCTTGCATAATGCTAGCCTTCATTCTCTGCTGGCGCTGGCATCTTCCTCACACGTGTGTTTGGATGATTAAAGTTGGTCCAGGCCTGCGTGTGGAGATTACAACATTTATCTCGAGAAATTAAGGAAAATTTGAACCTTTTCTCTCAAGAAATAATCTGATTTCCTTGAGGGGTTGGCAGGCTCCTTACAGAAATCACATGAATGCAGTAAATGATATGTGATATAGGTTATCTGATGCTATTTTTTTTTTTTACACCTTCAGCTTTAAAGTTTCCAATATCTTTGACAAATTATATCAAACTACAAACATCCTCCTTGATGGCTCCCTCTGGCAAAACAGGTGATTGTGTGTGGATGGAAAAGTTGAGGGAAATCCCATTTCATGTTGGTCCAGTGCCTCAACAGTTGCACAGGACACAAGCTACTGGGACATTTCCATAATCACAGGCCAGACCCAAGTGGTGCCAACACCTCGCGTCGAGGAGCGTGAACAAATCTTTTGACACATCTTGAGGAGGAAATCTTGTTTTATACCCATCCCATTTGCTTTCCTGATTGAATGCGAACATCAGATTTTCATCAAAGTTCTATTAAGTGAAACATAGGTTGCGGGGCACCGTCTGATTGGAACAGTTTAAATTTTAATTGTGTTTTTAATTTGACATATAGTTGCTGTGAAGAATGACACCGAAACGCCGAGGGGCGGTCGATTTTCTTAATTTCTCCCCGAGGAATTGATGAGTCTATCAGGGCAGTAGATTGGAAAGCCATTAAAACTCAATGGTTAGGTTGTTAATTGGAACTTGATGGATAGGAGCCCTTGGATAGGCTGTACTGATCCAATCTTCCTGACTTTGTGTTTTCCAATAAATTACCCAGTTCATTTCCACACTCAGATTACATAAATTGTACACCTCCAGGGCTCGGGTGCTCTGCTGCTTGCGTTTACAACTCTCTCTCTCTCCCTTTCCTCTCTCTCTCTCTCTCTCTCCCACCCTCTCACACACACACACACATAAGCATTACGCGCACGGACGCACGCACAAACGCCTCCTGAAAAAAGAGCAGGCCCCGCTTTCTTGAATGAAAATCGAAACATAATCAACGTTTATACTTAGAAAATTTATTGATATCATTTTCTCTGGTAATTTCCTTATTCTAGACTTGGACACGCCATATATCATAATACACACGTGTAAAAGGGTCTTTGTTTAATATTTATCGAAGCTTGATTCCCAGATCAAAGCGCCTCATAACTTCATCTGTCTTTCTCAGACCTTTCTCTGCTGCTAAAGATCTTGTTCTGTTATTGCGGTAGGGCGGCCGTGCAACCAACCTATCATCGTGATAGAGCACGAACTTAGGGCCGCTTCTTGCTGTTTGGGCCTCGCCGGGGCCTCGAGAAGCGCAGGAACATGGGTAGAAGGGACGAACATTTCCATACTAATAGAAGGAGCCTGCACCACCGGCCCCATAAACGCTGACATAAAAAACAAAAATAAAAAAAAAACAAGCGTGCGTAATTTATCCTCTTCGGCACAATAGCAGCCTGTTCTGTCCACTATCTGTGTGATGAACTAATCTCACTTTGCAAAAGTCGTCTGAAAGTGATGAAGGCGCGGCTACACTGACAAAGGTCTTTGTTTGAAAAGAGCGGCATATAAAATAAACCCATTTAACTGTCATTGCAGATTTCACGCCTTATGTGTAACCATCATAAATCCAGCATCCGCCCCCGACTGCCCTCATATATTTGCCCCCCCTTCAGTAAAGCCTCCCCTGCGTAAGCGTTTTAGGAAGATCGTTTAGCAGCTGCTGGCCCCGCTGCCAGTTGAGGATATTTACGCGCGGATCCAGATGCATCTGTCTGACTTCTGATGATGATGATGATGATGATGACGACAGAATCTGCTGTCAGCATCATCACCATCATCATCATCAGCAGAAGCAGCAGCAGAAGCAGCAGCATCACGTCCATAATCTTCTCCCTCTTCCAACACCCAACGCCGGTTGTGTTGCTACCGGGAAGGGCACTGACACGATGATTAAAGCTGACCATTTGTAATGTGTCTGGGGCTTCCTTACAAAGCAGTAAAAAAAAAAAAAAAAAGGAGGGATAATGTGCCCGAACCTCCAGCTCAAGCCCCGCAGCTGTCCCGCAGCCAGACACAACCAGAGAGAGACACACAACACAACACAACACAACACACACAGACACAGAGAAAGAGAGAGCATGGGTGGTGAAGGTGGGAGGAGGGCGGTGGTGGGGAGGGGCGCCTCCCTCTTCATGCGCGCACACACACACACAGACATACACATATACACACGCGCACACTCACACACACACACACACACACACACACACACACACGCGGCCCCCACCACCTCCAATCAATTAGTCAATCAATTAGCCGGCCTCCACTCCACGCGCGGTCATCACGAGGCAGATTAGCTCAGTAATGATCAAATTAATTCTTAATCGGAGATAATGGACGCGGAATGAGTTTATTATTTTCAGGAAAAATGAGTTGGGCCTTTGTCTTAGTTCCAAGGCTGCGTGCGCGTTGCCGTCACGCCAACCAATTTCGTATGCATGGGGATAATAGAAAAAGGCGACATGACAGTTATTGCAATAAAGTCATCCTCAAGTGACTTTTCCTGGCTGCGCAGGTTGGATAGAATGAAACAGAACTTTAGAAAATAAATGCAAAAAAAGGTATGAATCCACTTGCTACCATAATTTACAAGGCATATAACAGAAAAATGCAGATTTTAAAAAATAATAACAATCTGATTATATTTTCTAAAGGCATGACAGATAATTTAGTGCCAAAATTTACAATTTAATTTACTTACATTAATATTAGCCTGAGATGGAGCTGGATCAGAGCTTCACTCACACTCACACACTCTATCTTTGTTTGATCTGATCAATTTTAGACAACCTATGCATCACTAGTGGTCAAGATTCCAAGCATTGAAACGATAATAATATATATTTTTTTAAAAGTAAATTTGCACCTGACTGTTTTCAAATCATACAGCCGAGCAGCTTTACGCAGAAACGATGCAGCCTTTACTGCTCTTCTTCGGCTCTCTCGCTCTCCTCATCTCGTCTCCAAAACCCTGACAGGAGTTTGAAATTTCCGGGCTTCTATCGAAAGCTGCGATTGGCCCGTGAAGGAGCTTACCTACATGCAAATGAAGCAACGCAACCTTGCTGCCTCTGATCCAGAGCGTGAGGAGGAGGACCAGGAATACACTCATGTTCCCCGAGCTCTAGAAAAAACACCTCCAACTCCTTCAATGTTAAAACTCCACAATTAAAACAGGCTGAGGGGGGAGAGAGAGAGGAGAAAGACAGAAAGAGAGAGAGGGAGAGAAAAAAAAGCGGACAAAAGACGCAATTTTACGCACCAATCGTATAGAAAAAGCAATAACGGAATACAAGGGGGACAGACCGATTCAGTCAATACTTCAATACTGTTATGAAGCGAGAATGAGTAGCGCAGAAGACAGCGGGAGCAAGTGCTCGTCGGGCCCGATTTCCAGTTTTACCATCCAGTCTATTTTAGGCACGCCGTCCGATGAGCCGCGCTCCGGGAACAAGGAGCTCTCCAAGGGGCCGCTGCCGCCGCCGCCGCGGAGGCGCTCGCTGTCGGTGTCCTCCGAGGAGGAGTGCAGCGGCGGGGAGGACTCAGCTGACTGCTTCTGCTCCGATACGGGTCACAGCGAGCCGTGCACCCAGCACCAAGCGCACAACTTCTGTTTAGGTGAGGGAAACCTATTATTATTATTATTACGATTATTACTATTATTGTTATTACTTTTAATATTTAAACGAAAATTGTTGCTAAAAAAGGTGCAAAAGAATATATTTTTTAAAATCATAGACACACTTAGCATATTATTTTTTCTACTATATAATAAGTTCCCCTTTAAAAGAAAAATCTCCAGGCCCACCGTTTCATGTTTTTGTTTGCACTTCACTTCACGTTTCATTACCTTGTGTTTGTGATACTGACATGCAGCCCATCCACTTCCACTTGTTTGTTATGTGCAGACTATCATCGCAGCAGCAGCAGCAGCAGAAGAGTGGAAGGTCGAATAATTAGCCCTCTGTCTTTCCTCTCATTTCAAATTTAATTGAGCCTGCTAATTGATGAAACATGTTTCCAAAATGGCTGCACTACACGCTGTCAATTGAGCGTTAAATAGAGCGGGATTTAATTAATAGCTTACTGTAGCTACACCGAGCATACTCATACTGAATTGTTTATTTAAAAAGTCACAGGCTTGCGCAGGGCTGGGCTGCTTTCAGCTCGTCCATAAAGTCAGAGTTGACACTTGACTCAAACTGAGAAGTGTTTGTCTGATAAATGTAAAATACACATCTACATATTAAAAATTATATGGTGCGTAAAATCGTGCGTAAAAATGCATTTGTTTTGGTGCTCATCGCCTCCTTCTCCTGCTGCGTTCAGGTCCCGCTAAAGGACTCCTGTCTGGGAACGACGGGCTCGCACGGCGGCCGCACCTGTCCCAGCCTCTGCTGCAGGATTATAAGGAGGAGCAGGAGAGACCGTGCCATCAAATGTCACCTCTGTCTGAGGAGAGACAGACGGACGGTGCGGACAAGCAGGGCAACTCGGCCAAGAAGAAGACGCGCACGGTTTTCTCCCGGAGTCAGGTGTACCAGCTGGAGTCCACCTTCGACATGAAGCGCTACCTGAGCAGCTCGGAGCGGGCCTGCTTAGCCTCCAGCCTGCAGCTGACGGAGACTCAGGTCAAGACGTGGTTTCAGAACAGGAGGAACAAATGGAAACGGCAGCTTTCCGCTGAACTGGAGGCGGCCAACATGGCCCACGCCTCCGCACAGACACTAGTGGGGATGCCGCTGGTTTTCAGAGATAACTCCTTACTGCGCGTCCCGGTTCCCAGGTCTATCGCCTTCCCGACGCCCCTGTATTACCCGGGGAGCAACCTGCCAGCGTTACCTTTATACAACCTGTATAACAAAATCGAGTACTGATTGACTCTGCTGTATGTTCACAACTGCAGTCCTCGTAAAAAGAAAGAAAGAAGAAGAAAAAAAAACGCATTACAAAACAATACAACATTCTTATAAGTGTCTCCACATAACCCCTGTATATTAACTGTATCACTTTATTTGTTGAGAAAATTCTTATTATGCAGCAACTGTATGTCTCACAAGAAAGCAATCAAGCTATATGTATAAAATACACCATGTGTATAATTAATTATAACAATTTTGTACTTTTATTTTATTTTCTTTAAACTGACAAAATATTGGAGCTGAACCTTCATATCACATTGGAGAAACAAAGATCCCCAAAAAGACTTTTACACACTTTTTATTCACAGCCTAATTGGTTTGTCAAACATATTCCAAGGCATCAGTCATTTTATTTCATCTGACATGGATCTAATACTGACAGGAAAAACACAATTCTTCCATTTAAGGAAAAATATCATTGTTTCTATTGTAATTTAGACCTTCAATAATAACCTTCTCATTCAATAAATTTTCTATTTCAGTGAAAATTTTGCTCGCTTGGTTTTATTTTATGCACTTTGTTTCTTTTTTTTATGGTAAACTATCTACATATTATTTTTCAACACTGAAGGCTCATGTTAAATTATTGAACGATGCACAAACAAAACTGTTTTTAATTTTATTACAAGGCAATCTTTTGCAATAATCCAGCGTGATCATCAATACATGACACAAAATGACTATGTGTGAATTTTTGTTGCAGAGCCGCAGTAATTCTCCTGAATGCTTGATTTAAGATATTTTAAAACAATCGTGCTTCAACTATGAGCAAGGCAGCGTCGAGCACATTTACTTCCGGATACTTTTGGCTCACACATTTTACAATTTACCTCCTAATATTAAATCAACTAGCAGGTTTTAAGCTTCATGACAGATGGATTTTAATACCAACTTGAATCTGTGGAAGAATGATGCATTTAAAGGGATGCAGTGTGGAATGTAATGCAGTTTTACTACAACTTCTACATGCACTATACGCTCCAAGCAGAAAAAAAATATCAAGTTATGTCTAAACCTGCACGTTTACATGAAAGGGAACACGCATAAGTCATACTTTCTGGGTGATTTTGCCCTTATAAACACGGCTAGTGACCACAGTAGTCTGCTGTAAATGAAGAGGTGGATGACCACGAGCAAGCTGCTTTATAAGAAGTAGATAAAGCTCATTTCAGGGCTGGAAAAGAGATGCACACTATCACTAGCCAATCATGCCTCTGGGCGGGATCTTCTCTCATTTGAAGTCTGCCTCCGATGGCTCTCAAGCATCAGGGCCTTGTAAGGGGAAACCTAATAAAGAGGCATATTGTCAAAGTTCAAGACTCTGGCTGTCATTAAGCTGTACTCCTTTTCTCCGTCTGTGTAATGGATTACTGTATCAGCAACACCCTACACTGTACGTCTGCTTAATTCAGAGGCCAGTTTAGATTTTCAAGAGGACACTAAATCAGCTGTCAAAGTTGGCTTTACTATTTCATAATGGTTTAATAGACGCAAATAATCAAAAACAAAACTGAGCATGATGGCGCACACTTTGCCACTCTCAAGCACACAAACACACACACACACACACAAATGTCCCATGGTTGATGGGGAGCGATAAAATTGTGTCATTTGCCAGCTTTTCTTGGGTGTCACATCATGTACAAGGGACCCCCCCCCCTCCACTCCACTCCATCCACCCAGCCCCCTTTACCCATCCCACCAATCTCTCACTGTGTGCTAATGGCTACATTACCTAGCAGAATCATGACTAGCCAGGCTCTGCTGCCCTGCAGATTATGCCTGACCCAATTTCTGCAACAGCCGCCCTGTGTTTCTGGGAAAATGGATAGCGTTAGACAACAGCGGTGATTTATGGGTAACTCCAGCACCGGCGGAGAGGTGAGGTGCAGGAGGATGAATTTGTGACAGATAGGAGAGAGAGAGAGGGAGAAAAGAGAGACAGCGAGAGGGATGGGGGACAGTAACGCTTATGAAAAGGAGCAATAGCTTTGGTTGAATGAAGCTGTTTATTAGTTTCCAAGTGGTCATTATGTCATCAGGTGTGACGGCAATGTGCCGCTCTTTTGGATGGATGTTTGCACCCCACTGACTTGTGGGAAATCTGCATGACCTGTCACCTGAGGTTGTTTGATTTACAAGACGGAGGGAGAGACAGAGAGAGAGAGAGAGAGAGACGTGTGTGGAGATGCTGCGAGGAGCAAAAGGAGAGAATAAGAGCCGTAGAGAGAAAGTGAAAGAGGAATAGGTGGGAGGCAGAAGAGGAGGGAAGGTGGAGGTGGAGGGGGGGGTTGGATGTAACTATGTATCACCGCAATGGCAGGCGTGAATTACAAATTTTAATAGCAAGGCAATGAAAATGATTTGAAGTGGTTTAAACTGCAAAGAGACAGCGACTGGCATGGTGATGAAGATTTGTTGAGATGATATGTTGTGCCTTAGGATTCATCAAACCTGCCTGCTAAGGTGAAAAGCAAGTGTAATTCACTCTGTGGTATAATTTATGATGGGAGTAATGGAAACTGTGGGCTACACACAGTGTGGAGAGGGAGCGGCAAAGACAGAGTGCACTGGGCAAATTGATTCTCGGGATAGTTTTTAGAGCATATTTACAAGATCATAATGAATTATACTAAAAACCTCCAGATATCGCCTCTTTTACATCTTGAGATAAAATGATGAAGATCAAAACTAACTTAATTGAGATCCCATTAAATTTAAACAGGCTGCAACAACATTATCTATCACTTTACCTCTTTCTCTAGTTATAAAATGTTCTCCAGTAACATCTGAAGATATTTTACATATTCCATCCTTCCATCAGTTATTTGGATGAGGGCTTTTCAACTGCCTCCTCCCCCCAACATATTTACAGCCATTTGATTTAAAGAGGGTATGTGTGGCTTCATATTAGAGCGGTAGGTTATGAAGTAGCTATAACACCACGAGCAGATGCAGAGCCGCGGGTCTGCCTCAAGACAAGAGTTTTAAAAGCGATCGCAATGCATTAAGCCAGACAACTCTCAAGACCTGTTTGCTCCCTAAATGAATTTGAGGGGAATGTAACAAGGTTTTTGAGGCAGGCCCTGTCATCCGCTGGCTTTAACCAGCTTCTGTATTTATGGGTTAATGGTTAAAAAGGAGAGCTTGGAGCAGAAGTGATTTTTCATGATTCTGTTTTATATCAACTGGAAATGAAGGAGCTGAAGGGAAATTGTGTTTGTCCCCCCCACCCACCACCCCTTCTTTCCACAGCCCTCATCCCCTTTAACAGGACAGGAATATGCTACCAGGCAAAGCCGCATGGTAAACGCAACATGGGATAAGCGTATTAAAATAAAAATATGGTAGAAATGATAGCTTTAGGTAACATTTGGTGCACTTTAAAGATGCAGCGGAAATTTCCTAATGGACGCGGTTAACGAACGAGGCCACGTCAAGGTTTTGAATCCAGTTTTAGGTTTGCCATGTGGTTAAATCGAAACCAAACAAAAAATAAAAAATGCGTTTCAGTGTCAAAATCGGACTCATGATCGTGGCAGACGGCATCAATATGACATGTTTAGAGACGCTGATAACTCAAGGTCAAATACAAGCAGCTCAGTTGTTTGAACCACAATGAAAACCTTCCATCTCCAAGTTAGGCTACCCAAGAACAGCATTTAACCAAAAAAATGTGGATTTGGGGGCTTTTAATGGCGAAATGCATTACGTTTCATTGTTAAATTACCAACCATTTCTTGAACTGCGTGTTCTGAAGTGCCATTCGCTGTCCAATATGCATCAAACTATTACGGACTACGGCACGTGTGGAGAATTCGGCTATTACTCTAGAGATAAGTCCATTAGCATTACCTTTGACACAATAATGGATGTGAGATACAATTTTCTGCTCTCCATTTTGTATTTGTAAGGATAATAGGGGGATTATCTTGAAGGCCTTATGCTACACACTCAAGCGTGAGACCACAGAGACAGAGAGCTCTGCAACAGTTGTTTTCACATCCTCCCCTCGCTCCCCTCAGCCCTTCCCGCTGCTCCAAGACCCTCTCAGGGAAGATAAAGCATGTCATTATTCTATTAAAGACCTACAATTTTTGTAATGGGACTTGCAGTGGTCGGCAGAAGTGCAGGCAGCTTCTTCAATATCCTGGACATTATTTGCTCGTTTAGTTAAATGATGTTTCTAATTCCCTCATAATTACTTGTAATGAGGCTGTCTCCCTCGTTTTGATGCGGCTACATCTTAATACAGCATGGCATTCTTTTTTAGGGATAATTACCTCTCATGAGGCCGGGGAGCAAGGCTGGGGTTTGTTGTGTGCTGCACACGTGGCAAATTGGCTTGTTTCCTGCCATCTTGTCTTCCTGCAAATTGGTAAATTAAGTTTCTCGGCTGGAGCATTAGAACTGTTAAGTTTGCTTTCTCGGCTCCTTCAAATGATTGGCTTTACTGACAGAGAGATGGCTGTATATTCTACGTTTTGTCTCATTAAACTGGCAGACTTTTGAATTTCAGAGGGAGCCCAGCATTGGAGCGTTAAGAGAAATTTGTCAAGAGGACGGTTTAAAAATTATTTGCGCGTGCAATCCAGATGACAGAGCAACAAAACATAAATAAATCCATAAATTCCTTTATCTTAAAATTTTATTCTTGCTGTATTTTTTAAAGCAAATGTTTAAAGCCAGAGTTCTAAAACTGTATCTCATATGATTATAGTGAATTGCATTTGCAACGAACTGAACACGGGAATCATTTCGTACAAATTAGGTTCATTTATTGTAGCGCTAACAGACAACAATGGTGCCATAAAATACACCTCCACCGCCACAGTGTCAACAAAGTCAGTGAAGGAGCACCATAATTCTCCACTTAACTATATTATCAAGAGAGATGAGCACGTCTATTTTTAATCTTAGAGATAATACATAGTATTCAAATGGGACAGAAATGCAGAACTCACTGTTAATATGGACTTTCCCTTTTCTGTTTCCCTTCAGTGAACAGACCTGTCTGTGTTGTCCCTCTGAAATGATCCAGCTGCTGTACTCCAACCGCAGCCGTTGCAGGGTTGGCTGAGGGGTTTTTATTTCTAAGTGCTGATGTGTCGCAGACAGTTTGGCTCTACAAGGGCCTGTTACACGCCGATTAAAGAGAGGGAAGGAGTGCTCCCGCAGGGCGGCCTTGTACATTTACCCTGACCACAAAAAGGTCTAACGTTTACGCCCTGGTGCTGACATGACCTTCAAACAAGGTCCCTCTGCTGCCTGGGTGGATACTGGAACTGTCTGGAGGAGACCTGCAGTGGACCTCACAGACAGACAGGAAGAAATCATATCTTTTGTATCAGGAATGACCTGCCATATCCTGGGAAGTGAGAAGATATGGCTTTTATTGGGAAATACAGGAAAGGATAGTTATTTTTTGCACTTATCTGGCAATATGTGATTGTGATTTTCCAAAAGCTTTTGTCAGATTCACTGAATG